ATAGTTCCATGTACTGTATTTCACCATAATTTGATATTGAATTGCGAAATTAGTTTTGAAATTTTCTTGAAAACAATCGATATTGTCATTGTGATGATTTAGCCCCCAAAAGCAGTATGTATGGTATCTCTGCGTGCGGGTGTGAAAGATACATTTTTTTCCGAGTTATGTTTAGTTGTATAAAAATCATAGAAAATTCTGTGAGGGCTAGGCCTAGACAAAGATAGACTTCGTCCCAGAGGTGAGATGGAAATTCCAGGAAATTCAAAGGATTGAAAATAATTTTTTGGGAATTTTTATTGTTGGCATTGCTTCTGCTGGGATGAAAGTGCTGAGCCGTGCTGTAAGTTGTCAGAACTAACTGATTAAATGAGGTCTTGGAAGGCATGGCTGTGTTATAAATGTCCTGAGACCTCTTTGACATGGGATTATGGGACTTTTAAAAAAAATGGTAGTATTTATCCCCAGGCTTTAAAAAAAATTATGTAGAACTGCACATGATACTTTTAATACGTAAGTGATACATGACATAAAATTACTCATTGTTTTTTATTTTTGTATATCATTTTACTAATTATAATTGCCTGAGAAGTTTTAACCCGTTTTATCTAAACTATATTATATATTCTATACATCAAGAGATTTAAATAATATATGGGTGCTTTTGTAGGTCAAAGTTACAAAAACGTATGTTCCTGTGATTGTTTTTTACAACAATAGATAGACGAAAACCCATTTAACCATGATAATGTTGCTCTGCTGCCTTTTTTACATCCAATTTATAAAGAATATCGTTACCAACCCAATTGCTTGGCGCAGCCGACTGCAAGGGGTGTGGCAATGTATGTCACTTATAATATAATGGCCTTATTGTGTTGCAAGTGCCGTAAAACTTTTTAAAAACCCAATTACCTCTGTTTCCCAAGGTCACAGGTGTTGTTGTCATCGCTGAAGTGGTGGGGGGCCCTGGCGACTGTCCGGAATTTCCTGGGACTGTCTTGGAAGCAGCAGTCAGGAATTTGAGAGCCTGCCTGTCATAAACATTACTCCAAAACCAGTCCTTCCTGATGTAATTTTGTTCATGAATGACCTTATGCAGTCTTGAGTGCCGCAAAACTCATACCAGACTGAACTGAACCGATGTCATATAAAGTTGGGTGTCCCTGAGTGGGTCTGGACCAAGTTGACGAGGCTGTGGCGTCGGTGGCTTTGTGGCTTAACACGGTACCGGCATCATGACTTCTGCCGTCGGTCAGCCAGGATTGACCGACGACCCCATGTCCGCGGCCAGGTGTCTGGGCGACGGGACCACGTGCGGCCAGTGTGGCAAGCACTTTTCTCATGCCTTTTACTTCAGGTAAGTGTGGGTGGTTGGAGGCTGGCAGCGGTAGGTCCTACAGTGCAGCCTCTCTATAACGACCTTCAATATAACGACACCCTCTGTACCGGTATTGCGACATGGTGCCCAGGTCCCGATTTTTTCCTGAATAATATTTTGTCTGCCTCTCTATAACGACAGCTCTCTTTAACGACATTTTTTTCTGGTCCCGACGTTGTCGTTATAGAGAGGCTACAGTGTACTTCTTTTTCCTACTTTCATCTTTCCTTTCTGTTGTTTTTGTTTGAGCGGGTGCAGGTGGTTGGAGGGTGCCACTGGTTGGAGGGTGCCACTGGTAGGTCCTACTTCTCTTTTCTTTCCCTCTGCTGTTTCTATCTGTGTGGGTGGTTGGAGGGCTCCTTTATTAGGTGCTACTTCTTTTTT